CAATAAATTTTAAAATCTAAGACAGAGCTACATCTCTCTTTCCGCTATAGTAAAGTCAGATCGGGAATAGCACCCAACAAGATGAACACGAGAACCATTTTTATTAATATTTAATATCACAGGAATGTTTTTTTTTTTTTTTTAACGGGAGAAACATTACAGCTGAAGAAAATACACTCAACCAGCCAAAAAGAAAATTAAAAACAAGTTACATAGGCTTAAGACTTACAAACATAAAAAAAACTTAAGAAAAACCATAATATCAGGAATGGACTAAAGAACAAAGATCCATTGAACCAGCAAACTTTTCACATAAGGTCTTCAAAAGACAAGTGGGGCCATAGAGTAAAAGACTTGGTTCTGACCACATGGGCAAATATTTGAGATGAATAAAGAAGCCTTCCAATTTTACGGGGGCTAAAAGACAACAATATATATATATATATATATATTGATAATTAAAATAAAATTATATATATATCATCACCATAACATAAATATTTCAATGTACATATTTATATTTAATTTTACAAATATATAACAAAAATAGATATATATTCATTCTTTAAATTTACTTATTGATTTTTCATAGCATAAAAATATTTAATTATCATATATACGATAAATTTTTAAACAATTTTCTTTTTAATAGAAACTATCATTAACTTGGTGCACAATTCAATTTCCCATGAGCATTAAATAATTTAAATGTAACATTAAAATCTAAAGTTATATTCAATCTAAGAAGCTCTATTAGTTACTTATTGAATTTATTATTTAATTTTTTAATTAATAATTATAGTAAATAAATATATCAACACTATAACTGGTGTTCAATTATCACAAGTTCTTTATGTTGATGAGATCTAATTATACCATAATAAAAATTATTTATATAATAAATTTTAATAGCTTAGTTATTACAAAAAAAAGTAATTTACTTTTTAGAAGAACATATATTAATGATAACATCTTAACTTTTAGATAAATGATTTTATGGTAGACATCAAGCATATAACATTTAATATTTTAGAATTTTTGTTGGAATGCTTGATCAAGTTTGTTAGTAATAATCTTATAATTTCTTTTATCAAATATAAAATAAAAATAAAATCAAATGACATCAATGCTTTAAGAGGAAGTGTAGCATTCTCTTATTAAAAATAAGTAGATCTTACAATAAATATATCTTCAAGCTATTGAAATAGGTGGGCTACACAGGCATCAAAGACTATATATAAAATTGAAATGAAAATTTTATCTACTTATATAATGTACCAACTTAGGAGCCAAAAATATATAACTCTACATTTTATTTAAAAAAAATTAAAAGGTTAAGGAGGTCATGACCCTTGTTAGTCCCTCTATCTTCACTTGTTGTGCTTTTAGACACTTTCATAGAACTCAAACATATGTTGTTTTAAAATGATATTCTAGATTGGATCAAAAGACAACCCACACCTCGTTCCCTTGAACATCCACAACCAAACTTGCCAGTCAGCCATTTGGTTCAAGAATCCATGTACAATGTCTTTCTTTAAACCTAGTGCTCTCCTTGATTATGCTAGCCTAATGCCTAAGGGTCAAAGACTTGTTCAAACTGACCTCAGGAGTAACTTAAAAGCCCTGATGCACCAGCT